CGTGGACGCACAGGGCGACACATGAACCAATCACAGAGCTCTATTTAAACCTGTGCGTTAGATTTTCTGCTTCACTTAAGCAAGCATCCCGTTCCGTTTTTTGCAGGGTCCCGTTTAGTACACGTGTTCACATAGTGTTTTCAGTACCCCGCAAAAAACCGATCCGTTTGAAGTTGTGATCCGAATTTCAAACACACACTATTATGTGGGAAACGAGCCCTTAGACTTTCACCAGTATCTTATACATATATGTATATAAAAGAAAGTCGTGTTAGTTACTCCACTTATAACTCAAGAACGGCTGAACAGATTTAGCTGAAAATTGTCAGGTAGGTAGTTTAGAGCCAGGAGAAGGACATAGGATACTTTTTATCCCGTTCGAAATTAAAAAAAAAGTCTGCTTATTTATTGCCATTAAGGCGGAACAAAGTTCGCCGGGTCAGCTAGTGTAATATAATTAGGTACTCATTTCAGTGAGGCGTAGATACCCATTTTACTTTTTAATAAAAATGATTGAGCAGTTCGTGTGTAGCTGTGCGATCATTATTTACTTAATTACTTTGTTTTATCTACTATATCTATAAAAGCGAAAGGTCACTGATTGACTGACTCACTCATCGCGAAATCTCATAAACTACAAGTGCTAGGAGTCTCAAATTCTTTTAGAACGTAGGTGCTCAATACGAACGGATTTTACGAAACTCCACCCCTAAGGGGGTAAAACGGGATCCACGCGTACGAAGACGCGGGCGGCCGCTTAGTTGGTTATAAGTAAAAGTAAGTATGTTAGTAGGTACAACATAAATAGCCCTATAATTCAATTTCATGTAAAACGTAGCGTATTTAAGTACATAGTAGTAGGTACGAATTAAATTACTACACTATTTTTGGCATAGGGAAGGTAATGATGTCTCGTGGCCGGCTATTACTGAGGTAAATATAAGGAAAACGACAGTTAGAGCTTCCCGTTCGCCTCATTGCTCTTGATTCTTGACATTGACTCGACTGTCCTCGGCGGAATACAAATAGGTGCTGTCAGCGTCAAATCGTCGGCCGTTTGGTGTGGTTCGAAACAGACTACTATTCCGGAGGTAGCGGGTTCGATTCCCGCACAGTACAAACATTTGTGTGCTTGAACATTAATTTTGTTTGTATTGGACTGGGTGTTTTCTATGTATAATAAGTATGTATTTACAAAAAAAAAGTATTTAAGTATGTTTGTTTATATCCGTTGTCTAGTACCCATAGTACAAGCTTCGCTTAGTTTGGGACTAGAAGCGCAGTGTAAAATGTCCAAGGATTTTTTTTTCTTTTTTTTTTAAATATTGCGGACACCCATAGTAGCCAATAAGTTCCCAACACGTCGTTGTTACAATGAGGGCTATCGTTTTAGCGCTCACCAGTTAGCGCCACTGTAGAGTAAGGTCCTGTCACTTGCTAGTAGCGAAGACAGTGGCACCAACTGGTGAGCGCGAAAGTGGTAGGAGGACTATCGCATTTGCACTCATCAAGATGGCGCCATTGTAGAGTAAGGTCCTGTCAATCGCCAGGTGTGCCAACTTTTGTACAACAAGTATAAAAACGATAGCCCTCATTGGAATAAAATTGTGTTGTCAACTTTTTGGTCACTTTGCATGTCACGAACTATTTGACTGTACTTGTGAAGTGGTAAGGAATATTTTCATTCAGAGGTTAATGGAAGTAAAATAGCTGTGGAAAATTATGGATAGAAACTAGGTACCTAGTTGCTTTTAGAAAGGAAAACAATTTTTTGGCAATGTTTTTCATGAGTTTAAAGAAAGTAACTATTTTTTTTATTGTATAATTGTTTTATATAAATAAATAATAAATATCCTTAGACATTTTACACTGCGCCTCTAGTCCCAAACTAAGCAAAGGTTGTACTATGGGTACTAGACAACGGATATAAACATACATAAATACTTTTTTTTTGTAAATACATACATATTACACATAGAAAACACCCAGACCCGTCACTAAAATTACAATTCATCATTTCAATTTCTGCCCGGCCGGGAATCGAACCCGGGACCTCTCGGCATAGTAGTCCGTTCTGAACCACTACACCAAACGGCCGACGTATTTTGTTTTACGACTACAAAATGTAAGGTATTCATGCAATATGCAATTTATTTATGTTTTTTTAATTTTGTATTACCACTTCGCAGATGTTAAAAGTAAATTGCTTCCCAAGAAATTATGGTTAGGTTATTGTATGACTATGAATTTTATATTTTAATCAATAGATTGCAGTAATGTGATCCTACATTAGTGCTAGATGGGACTGTATGGACTCAGCATTCACTTCCTAAGGGACTATCAGCGCTATCATGCGTGTAATTAAGTTTAGATTGGAACACAGGACCAGGCTTAGACAGCTTAACGGGAACAAAACGGGAACAGTTAACACCACTACTAGGCAATTGATGTTTTTATTAGCTAACTACATAAACACAACTTGATAGTACCTACCATTATTTACAGAACTTTAATAGATTTGAGTAAGTACTTTTCTTTTGATTTTGTCTTTGTCGAAAACCTAATCCATTGGAGTAAAGGACTGATCGAGATACTACAGTACACACAATTTGTGGTTGTTTATGATAAATGTGCATACAAACTTTTTTATAACCTTTTTGTAAATACTGGCTGTCTATTGAGAAAAACAAACAAAAAAGAAAAGAAAAAGAACAGGTCGCTATGCTTTTGTTTTTCATGTCATTTTTTAAATGCGTGTTCAGTCTTTTTTTTTTAAACTTCAACTCTTGTTTTTGGAATTAAGTAGTAAAGGATTCGTCTTTCAATTAAATACTCGTACATTGTTGTTGTAACTGCTTAGTTGGTTTAGGCAGAAACTCGAAATAACAAATATAACAATGGACTATGTTTGTTTACGTCAACTGTTAGGTATTATCTCAACACCTATCAACGCCATAATAATTATCACCTGTATTACTATGACATAAGAGCTACATTTGCAACTGTTACACACGATGTGCGGGGTACGTAACTCATATCAATATGAGTAGTTTTGATCTATAGTTGACTCTTTTCTCCTTATCGACTTTTTACATTATTATGTAAGGAATTCTAATGTCTTTAATTGGTTTAGTTGGTTTAGGCAGAAACTCGAAATAACAAGGAATTCTAATGTCTTTAATTAACATTATGTAACATTTAAAAAAATATCAAGTATTTTTAAATAAGCATTAAATTAACCACCCATGGGGCGATTCTCGTGCCATAAAAATAAATTTGAATTAGGAAAAAACCGGATTCTGTACCTATGTTTCGCTACAAATTGAATAAACCTATTATTATTCATCGAATTTTGGCTGTAGAATTGAGAGTAGGCGCACACCGTTGATTTTTCGTCGGCCGATAGTTTAGTCGGGCAGTTGATCAGTATGGGCATGTATTGGAGTGCGCACACTACGCCGATTCGATTTGGCCGATTCTTCATACAAATTAAAATCGGGCACAACTATCGGCCAACTAAAAATCAATGGTGTGCGCCTACTCTAAGTAGTCGATAGCGATTGATCCTGAGAAAAATTCTAAATTCAAATTCGATATTTTTCTCTGTTTTGTGATGGATCGGAATTACCTCCTATAAGAAGTAGGTACGTAGGTATCTCTTAGATAGAGAGCTAGGCATTTTGTGTAGTACTTATTCCAATTCTGAAATATTTTGTAGTTAACATGTTCAAAATTTTTATAGTAGGATATTCACATTTATCTGTTAATGTGACTATTAATTTGATATCTCACGATAATAAAAAAAACTTTTACAACAATATCGTCACCGTCGTGGCAGAATTAAATAACTGACAAAACCAAAGTTGCGAGATATTCACGTTTTTGTGTTTTTTTTCGTTAAAAATGGCGATAACTTTTAAGGGTTAAAATATTTTACTGTCGGTCTTTTGATATTTTATACAGCAAATTTACCTTTATTAATTCAATAGTATTCGATGATGTTACTTTGTATTATTTTAAATAAAAAAATAAAAATGTAATTATTTAGTTTTGCCACAACCGTATTTTACAACTAATTTGCAGTTATTTAGTTTTTGTATGTCACTTATTTAGTTTTGCCTCAACCAAGGTATTACAAAAACTAATATTTCCATTGAATAAGTACACTTGTTTAATTTTGCCACACTTTTATTGACCTAAATGTTGATTTATTCATTTTATTTTATTTGTTTTGTCAATGCAATTTTAGTCAAATCTGTAAAATTGTTAAATAATATTAGAATATACCTACTTATTTAATACTTACAAAATTTTTAACAAATTGGTATGGTAACCATCAACATCAGATTCTGATATTTCACAAATATTACTATCGATAGAATCACAAGGAAGCCCTATTGTAGGCACGTGTTACGTTACTACTTTGTCTTAATGATCTCATTAGCAAAATGACTTAATTGTGTAATACATGAATAACGAGTTTTTTAACAAATGTCAGTCAGTTAATAAAATAATCAATTGATTATATTAAAGATTAAGAAAAAATGTGAATAGGTACAGAAGACGAATTATAATAATACATTTTTAAAACTGTCTTAATTATAATTTATGTTTTTGTTATGATATCGTTGATATCGGTTGGTATGTTACTCGTAATACCACCGAATAATAAATAAGTTCTGTAATACCTAAAGCATAATGTTTAATTGAAATAAAACGATTAAGACACTTTTAGTAACACTGTCAAGGTTGAATAGAAAGTAGGGAAGACTGGTGACCTATATTTTGATTCACGCATGCGTATTCTGAAAGGGTGGCGTGATCTGAACCAAAATAGATAACCTCAAAAACAATCTACAATCGCAATGTTATTCAACCTTTATCTACTTTTCTTTTATCTTTATTCTGTATTCGATTTTAAATTTTGAAAATTAAAAAAAAATCCTTATTCGAAACTGACGTTCGACGTTTAAAAATAAACTTATAGGTTATCGGCTCACCTGTAGTTGATGTCAGGAGCTTCGAACACATAGATGGACCCGAAAATTCCCGCCAAATAAACAGGGAACAAAAGAAACGCATAGTTCACAAGATTATATCTCCCGAAAGGGCCCAGCTGCGCCAAAATCGCGTCTAACTCCAAGCCGGAATTCGGTTTCGCCATTTCATGAATTAAACTCACACTATTTTCACCACAAAAACGCGTTTTTTAATTGAAAAATCTATTTTAAAGCGTCAAAGCTGTATTTTCGTAAAATATAAAATAATCCAAAATTAAAGGTCACCAGTGTTTACGTGTTGCACTGACAGGTCCACGCATGCGTATTAGCGAATTTCGATTTTGACACATTTTGTTAAGGTTTTTTATCGAATGATCCCGGATTCTCCTTGAAAAAATCACACCGAGCCGTAGGGGACGTCTAAACACACGCGCGTGAACGCAAAAATAAACAGAATGGCAGCAGATGTCCGTATGTCGATGAACCGTTATCGAAATCATGCGAGAATAGAAAAAGACGGAAATATTAGAACCGCGATGTTATCGTATGAACAAGCGAGACAAGTATACTTTTGACAGATCTTTATTTTATGGGACGATGCGTGTTGTTTTACGAATTTAATGAGGATTAAACGAAATACTGTTAAGTTATTTTTGTTTATAATCAATAGTTATTGTTAATCATTGTTGTTTAATTTCACGTTTATACTGCGTAACGTTTCAGTTCTGTAATAAGAATTTTTTTTCTTTATTCTGTTTAATAATTTAAAAGGGCTTGTTCCTTTTTTGGATACATAATTACATACAGATAACATTATACAACGTGCTCCTTTTGATTCCCAGTAACTTTAAGGGTATATTATATTATGAATAAAAACTAATTAAATTGAAAATAAAAAATCTTTCAATTCTTTGAAATGGTCTTATTAGTACTCTAGAGCTTCAGGAAATTAAGGAGCTCAAATAAAGAGAAAATCAAATATTTAATAACTTATAATAAATTAAATGTTTTAATGGGTAAATTCATTGAAACTTAATTCATACTAAAAATTTATTCGTTGGTAAAGACAACAAAGTTAGTACCTACATTATGCACTTATTAGGGTATTAGTATATCTAGGTATTTATGAAACACATTTTTTTTTCAAGAATCTACTACACAGGTTGGTAAGACTTGATACAAAGTTATACCGGCTTGCTAAGTGTTGTGCAAACACTATCATGAGGCGATAATGGTCGCAAATTGAAAATAAGCATCGTGATAAGGACGTGTATAATTTGATAGAAAAAAAATACATATTTATAAAAAAAATCTTTATAATAATCAAAAATACTTAGCTTTATTTTAATCAAATTCCATATTGTACGTATAACATCAATATAATGCATTTAATCTCTTATCATTGTGAGCATGGGAACTGAAACCTATAAATAAATTCTTATCATTTACCATTATACACTTTCCTCTAACTAACGTTGTAATAGCAATCCCAAAACATACTGTTCCTTTGGTCTATCGGTTATGCTTAGGGTGACCATCAACCCGATTCGGAAATTTAATCGCCTCATTCAAGTCCTATTCAATTAATATTTTTGAGTTCCGTGAAAGTCAAAGAAATGTTTCGCATGAAAAGTGAACATGTAAATTTTTCCATACAGATGAATCCATCCGTTGCCACGCGCGTTGTAAAATTAACGTTCTAATTTGTTGGTTACCCTGTGCCCACGTTATGGGCAATTTCCGTTTGTCTTTTTTTTTAACGAATTTGTGTGGTCACCCTAGTCACGCCCAAGATAATCTTAGGCCCACCGCTCATTGTCTCGCCTCGAAGATCGCGCAGATTGAAACTGTTTTAGCTCGCTCGAGCGTGGCTGCCGGACAGCGGCTCGTGACGAGTAATCTGCCGTGGATTTTAGACCTTAAGTCAAGGGGTTTGGATTGTTATTTGTTATTGAATTACTGGAGATTTCTCGATGATTGATGCAGTAGTATTTTGCATCTAAAGACACCAAATTGTCGTTATTTAATTATGTAAAGGTTATTGTGTGATTTACTAATCATAGTTTATAAGACATTTGTTACTAACACTTTTATGGGCTATGCCTGAAATAAATACCTTTTATTTATTTTATTTATTTAAAATTTATGTAGAATCTCTGATTCTTTCAATACTAAAACTGCTTATTATACTTTTGAAGCTATATTTCAGCGCAGTTTACACGAATGAACTATACCTATTACCTGAAGTTAGCAATTATATCGCATTATTATCAAACGAATATGTTGTTCAGCTTTGTAGTCCTTAAGTTTAGTACATAGGTGAATGAAATTTCATTGGATTATAGTCATAGTATTTCAGCTAACAGTGATTTGTGGTTTTAAAAGCTCATAGATAAACAATTACCTTGGACAATTACCTATCTTATTTTTTTTTAAAAGGTGAGCCTTCCAGAATATTCACGTTTACTACATTCACTGTACACATGCTGCAAAGACGGATCTCATGTGACCTCGTTAGTACTGTCGGCTGACGATCTTAGGCCCACCTCTCATTGTCCTAGCTCAAAGATTGTCGCTCGAACTGTTCTAGCTCGCTCGAGCGTAGCGGGACAGATCGTGCCGAATAATCTGAAATCTGAATGCAAGGAATGTAGCGTCTTATGTACTGACAGTAGGTACTATTTTTGCTTTGATGTACTGATGATATTACTATGCAGCGTTGTTCAGTCACTATTGGGTCTTAAAGGAATTGAACACCTTTGGTGCCTGTAGACAAAACACGCATGCTCTGAACCTGTAGTTATTTGAGTTACGGTTGTTCTTTTATTTTCATTTAACAACTAAAAAAAGAATTACATAAGTTGCATTTAGATAGTTTTAAAAACTACACTAGGTTTGAAATAAAGCTAATGAGTTTAGAATAAATTCACATTCAATTACATAATTGAATACAAAATTAATGATATTAGTATTGTTTAAATAATGTAGTTAGAACTTTACAGTTTGAAATTACAAACTACAGACAGTAACAGTATATAGTAGATTATATTTTTCAAAACAAAAAACAAGTGTAGTATTTTGTTAGCGTTTGTTAGCTCAGCTGTTCATACTCCGCAGTTTCTGCTCTCATATTTTATACAATTCCAAATCCTCACTACTTTCCTTTTAGCTAAAAATCTTTATTACAAAAACCGCAAGCGCAATTCCCTTTAAAATATTCAGCGCATCAATATTCGGATCGTTTGTTGCGAACATAAAATGTAATGAACACGCTAACAAGTGGTATGTTTCCAAGATAAATAAATGAAGAAAACTTTTATGAACATTCGTTGCGCATTCATGAACCTTGTTACAGAGCTTGTTACGAACAGGGTTGTCGCTTAGAGCCAACTTAGATGAGCACCGACCTATTTACGTAGTTATTTGAATTTCGAAGTTCGAACGCTTTTAAAATACTTTTTTAGTTTTCAAAACTCGGGTTTGATTTTGTCTTTTTTTTCGTAAAGGGCTTCGTGTGGTTTGCCAGATATTATGGCCAGTGTCAAGTGATACATTTTATGTCTGTAGCTTCAATTCCATCTGGGCGTAAGTAAACTTACGTTCAAGAAGGAGTCACCTTCCAGAATTTTAATAAAACGATTTAAAAAACCTGGACGGTTATTAAATTTGGTTCTTTATGGTGTCCACAGACCTGGCGGCGTATTTTACCATCATTAAAATTTCTAACCGCATACGAATACGAACAAAATGTAGGAATTGGTATACAAATTGTCCGATTTCATATGCAAATCAGAATTTTAGTGAGCCAAAAATATGTTACCTTGATTTTATTTTAGATGGAATTTGCTACCTGCATGTGTTATTGTAAATATGTTTTTGTTATTTATATCTTCGTAGGTATATCGTTATTAATTGTAAAATAAACAACAATACGGTCACACAGATTCGGATATAAAATAGGTACGACACTCGATCGCTCTCCACGGTATTTGAACCTAGACCATCACGTACGAGGCCCATTCACCAGTCCATTCAGCCGTCACTGTCTTACTAAATTACTTTTAACAATTTTCAGCTTTACCAGCCCTAAAAAAATACAATAAATGAGTTTTATATTCCATGAAATATAATAGAAAATATACAATGAGAGGCTCTTGTGGGCGATCCAAGACTGCTTACAATATTATTTTGATTTGAAGAATAAATAAACGTTACTGGCATTGTAGAATAGTTCTTGGATTTACGTGATCATATAACAAGGATTTCATCATGATTACTGTAAAAATAGAACATAAATGAAAATACACGAAAAGAAAAATGAATGACATTAACGCAAAAAAAAGCAATAAAATATCAAAGAGTAACAAAAATAAATGTTTTCATCTACGCACTTAACATTTGCAAGTGTGCTTCAGCTATTTTTAAATTATATGTCCTGCTGCAGACTAATAAATCCGATTCACTATTGTAACTGTATGTTACAGTTTTAAGAAATGTACACACTGAAGTTCAAAGTTCAATATACTTACCGAGGTAGATTTTATTTTATTTTATAAGTAAGTGCTATTGGAATGCACTTGCAATTGGAATAGTGCAAGGCAATGATTGAGATTATGGCTGTATAATTAGTTGAGTTTTAGTGACTTTAATTGTAATCGATGATCCAATCTATTTTTTACTTTTATCTTTATGTAAATTATTTGAAAAATGTGCTTGAACATCCTATGTTTCAAGTTACAAACAATGCTCACATGTATTTGCAGTGCGAACCCCAAAATTATTATAATTTGTAAAATTGCTGACATATTAACTCAACAAAATATCAATATTTTCGAAAACTTACAAAAAAAATACATTCCCTTTTAGTATAAGTCTATAACACCAATAGCAGTCGCACAGGGCATCTAAATAACCCGAAACATTACGCGTTATCCAGGATACCTGTCTAACCATTCGCTATCCCGGCCATCCCGGGGGAAGACATATTTCAGCTGGACTCATTTCACGCGCAATTTCCTTTATTAGCCTGTCCAAATTCCTTAAGCAGATTCATTGAATCCAATCACTTGAGTATTTTGTTTTGTTACAAATATTTATTACAGATATTGCAATTTTATAGATACTTAAGTTAAAACAAGTTTTTGTCGGCGATACAAAGTTCGCCAGGACAGCTCGTATTCTTTATGTCAAGTATCAAGATGACATGTCATTAAACGTTTCAGAACTTCTTACCTAATAGTAAAATAATAAATTTTGGTGAAATTCAGGACAAGAATATCCAGTTTTATGAGTTTTATTTGATTAAAAATTGGTTTGGTAATTGTAAATATAAATAAATATCTTTGGACAATCTCACCCAGCGCCATCTAGCCCCAAAGTAAGCAATTAATATGCTTGTGTTATGGGTGCTAGCTTAAATATACTACTTATATACCTACTTTGTATTTTTTTTAAATACA